ATACTTGTATTTATATTCCTTGTATACTCTCTGCCAAGAGTTTAAAATGGAATAGCTTTCTCCCCTTTTTATTTGCACTACTGCCAGTAAAGACACTGCCAGTGTCAGTGCCTCCTAGGCATGTTTTCATCTAGGCCAGTGGTCTCCAAAGTGGGGTGACAGCAGCCTAGGAGGTAGGCAAGACCACTGGGGTACAGGAAGAAAGTATTAGAAGTTCAGTAATACTACACTTCTATAAATAAATAAATATACATGTATTGGGAGTGAATGCTTAAAATTTCTTTCACTGATAAGAGCCTGTGATCAAAAAAGTTTGGAGATCACTGATCTACAGTTAATAAAATCATAAATGTTAATTTCTTGGCTTTTCTTAACAAGACAATATTCAGATCTGTTTAAGGATATGCAGATTTGAATATCATGCAGTTGCAGTTCTAAAAGCTGAACTCTGTGTGTTTATAACTAGTTAAGCAGCTTCTCACAATTAGAATGTGGTCCTTCTGGATACCTCATTCTAAGTCAAAACTTGTAGTAATTAATATATATTTAAGTGCAGTTGCTTATTAATCAGCAGGAGAGACTTGACTGATGTTGAGATGCTCAGTACAGAAATTAACACACCTTGTAAGACAGAGTCCCCCCACTGGCAAACAAAATGCACTGTGCTTCACCTGTTTGTTCATGCATCTCCTAATTTTCTTATGCATATGACGGGTTCCACTATCCTATATACTTAGGAACCAGTTATGCTTGTTTATTTAATGAATGAACAGTTATAATTAACATATACTTCTACATGGAGCTGGTGTTGCACATATCCAAATGAAACAGTTACAGAGAACAGTTAGGATCAGGTTTTATAAACAATGATAAAAAGCAAAATGAAGAACAACTTACTTTTCAACTACGTTATCTTGTTGTCTGACAAAAAACTGATACAGCTCAAATGGAGAAGTCTTATCTCTGTTTAGCCAAACTGCATTTCCAGCAGTTTTTCCCAGTTTATCTCCAGTAGTACTGGTAATAAGAGGTACAGTAATTCCAAACACATCTGTTCCTGTCATCCTAAGAAAGAAAACATGCACTGCTTGTTAAAAAAAAAAATCACATCTTGGTAAAATTGACTAAAATACAAACATTCTGCAAGGTCCTATCCTTAATATAAAGCAGTTAAATAAGACAGGGAGTGAGGAGCAAAAGATGCCTGAAGAGATGTTCTGAAAAGAGTGCTTTAGGGAAAAAAACAAGTTTTGAAGTTCTTTTATGTGTATCAAAGAAGTTGACATACTCAAAGCAACTTGAGCAACAGCATTAGCAGGTTCATTGTGCCCGACCTCTTGTCTTCTGCCCCGAGTACTAATCGAAGCTGCTGGTGTGGCTGGGACACTTGTAAGGCTTTTCCTCTGTGCCCATTCTCTGTCTTGTAATAATCAAGCCCGTACTGAAGTAGAAGCTCACATCCTCACTGATTTATACTCCTGCAAACCTTCTAAAACTCGCACTAAATTTGGTGGGTAAGCAAAAAGCGCATCATCGTCACATCTCATTTTATTTCTGAGAAGGAATGGAGCAATCTTGACCAATATACCACAACTACCTTTACTTCAGTGTGATCACACCAGGATCTGTGTGCTGGTAGAGGACTTGTCCTGATTTTGTCCCATGCTTTAGGGTATTTGATTTTGGTTCTTGGATCCACTAATAAAAAATCCATCCTTTTTGTTAAGAATTCACTAACAATTCATAGAAAACGCTTAAACCCTGGCCAAAATGTACATATGTGTCAGGCTTATGGTCAGGCCAATTAATTATTCCTCTCAAATCACAGTTTTATGTAAGGCCAAATCTCTTGAGGGTTGACGTCTGCTCCTGGTGCTTTAGCGACTGTCAGCACCAAGTCGCACAGCATTTGGTCACAGAATCAACTGGGTTGGAAGAGACCTCTGAGATCATGAAGTCCAACCTATGACCACCTCATCCACTAGACCATAGTGCCACATCCACTCCTTCCTTAAACACCACCAGGTGACTCCACCACCTCCCTGGGCAGCCCCTTCCAATGCCTAATCACTCCATCTGTGAAGAACTTCTTCCCAATGTCCAACCTAAACCTCCCCTGGTGCAGCTTAAGACTGTGTCCTCTTGTCCTGTCACTTGTTACCTGCGAGAAGGGGCCGATCTCCATCTGGCTACAACCTCCTTTCAGGTAGCTGTAGAGCGCTACAAGGTCACCCCCGAGCCTCCTTTTCTCCAGGCTAAACAGCCCCAGCTCCCTCAGCCGCTCCGCACAGGGCATGGAGTCCAGAGCCTTCCCCCAGGCAGCTCCACTGCCCTTCTTTGTACCCGCTCCAGCACCTCAACATCCTTCCAGAGCTGAGTGGCCCAGAACTGGACAAAGCACTCGAGCTGCGGCCTCACCACTGCCAAGCGTTGGGAGAATCTCCTCCCTAGTCCTGCTGGCCACACTATTCCCGA